ATCAGTGCCCTTGAAGGAAATATTCCTAGGTTGTCGAAGTAGGACAAACCTAGGGAATAATCCAACAGGGGGAGGAGGATACAACTCCAGCTCTTGACTTCAGAAATCTTGATTCTTGAGTCTTGAGAATCTTGAGCCTTGAATCTTGAACTGTGAATCTCAGATCTTGGACTTCAATTTCTACACCGACTTGTAAAGAAAAACTTCACCAACTATCGGCAATCGTGAGCTTACTTGCAAAAGATGATTAACCCCTTGCTATGACCAGCAGACCTAACAATTCGCCTGTGTGCCTGATGACTAAGCCCCCACGGTCACTCCTTTCCATGTGGGATGAGTTTTTAAAAAATTAGACGAGTTGATAAAAGGCATTTTTTAACATTCAGTTTGGAAAAATGAAAATATCTATAATTAAAACCTGGGTTGATAAAAGGCATTTTAAACAGTCAGCTCGGGAAAAATAAAAATATATATTATTAAAAGCTGTAGTACAAAACCTTAGCAGAATTCCAGAACATACAAATTTGTGCGAGCCGTGCAGACTTTACACTTTGTTTAGATATGTGTATGAAGACGTCATATATAAAAACTTCAATGATGCTTTATTTTTAAAGATTTCAAAAGTTTGTCAGTTTCTGTTAATTTTTTCTCCTTTTTGCTAAGATCCTGAGAATTGATTCGGCCTGAACTTGAACCAACGACCTCTTGCTCAAAAATAAATTCAGAATTTTCCAACTGAACCAATCGGCTGGCGGTTAACTATAMGTTTCTTTGCAGTCCCACATTCGCTCAAAAAATCTGATCCATAAAGCTACAATTACTTGCTAACTTCAGATAAATCTTGTCTAATGTTCCGAACCGGCTGCTACAGTCGCAGCCAATTGTTAAAAAGCTTCATGATGTGAAAGTCAGCACAATTCTGTCTCTTAGGGATTTCTACGTTAAGAAATAATAAGCTTTTTTTTGTTTTTAAAAAAAGTAGAAGTTACATTATTTGGAAGATGATTTATGTATACATTCTAAAACCTACCATCTTCAAGAGTCAGTACGCGAATAACCTCACTAGAAACACTGGATCCTTGATCTGAGAAGCCAACAACTTGAATCAAATACCAAGTGAACTTTTTGAGGTTGTCGACCATCATCCAATCGGTCCAGCTATTGATGTTAGACAGAAAGAATAAAACATGTTTGTGACGTTAAGCCCGGTCTCTTTCTGCAAAAGGCGTGATTACGCGGAGCGATTTTCTCTGCAACTTATATCTCGCAACCTCGATGCAACACAAGTTGCATTGCAACGTGTGACCTACAGTGTTGGAGACAAGTTACAGACTGAGAAATTGCTACGTGTAAGACGCAAAAGGATTTTGTACCCGCACGAAAAATAGCGTAAACTTCAATTGCATTTACCTAGACGCAGTTCGCAGCAAAGCTGTTCGAGTGTCTTCTTCCATACACACCACCCTGTAGCCAAGAACGGTGCCAGATATCTGGTCTAATGGTATATGACTAGCAGCAGTAAGGGGGACTCGCGGTGGATGTCGAAGATTTACGGGTTTGACGGGCGGTTTGAGGAATGGTCCGGCACGGGAAATACCCGTGTCTCGTTATTTGTTGCTGCTATGTTAGGAATCGAAGGTATCGCAAACGAAGGTTAAGATATTCCTTAGATATAGATGGACACCATCACAAGCATTCGTAACAAAACTGTGCGCCGACTGCGAACTCAGGTGTT